ATATTTTGACATCGGAACAAGATTAATCTGAAACTTTAATCTACACTGAAAAAAAAGTTTTTTTATACCCGGAATACTGAATATTTTTTAGTCGAGTTTTCTTGTACGAAGTAAAAGTCAAGTTAAATATTTTAGATTTAAGAAAACTGGTATTTTAAATCTGAGAATACCAAGTTTTTTAACAGGACTAAAACTAAATTCTATGTTACCATAGTAACCGTGACGGTGGCGCCACTATTTTGTCATTTCCCTCAAATCTACATAGTGTACGCGTGTTTTTTAGTTATTAGTTTACCTCGTGCCTGAGTATAGTTACCTAAATATTTATTTGTGTAAATTAAATAATTTATAAATTATAAATAAAAGTATTAATCATCAATATTACTTCCCCTTACTCCCTTACTTATATGGATTCTTAGATGCAAAAGAAGTTGTCAGAGTGGAATTTATCATCTAGAACAAATTTATAACTCATTTTAGCAAATCAATTTATCATTTTATAAATCAATTTTTATAATAAGGTAGAAAACCCAGTTATTTTCACTGGCCTAGTCGTTTGACACTTGCAATTTTATTCTAATTAAAAAAAATAAAATGTTCTCAAAAAACCAATTATCTTAAAATTTATAATTCAAATATAATATTTATTAAATTATCAGAGTTGATTTAATTTTTTTAATTAAAAAAAAATTGTCGGCCATATTGATTGTAGTATTTTAATAATGAGAATACCAAGTTTTTTTTATATCCAGTAACCTTATTCCTATGGATAGTAAACTTTGGTATTCTTATTTTAGGAATACTTTTTTTTTAACCACAGGGAAAAGTTTTCTAGGAGGAAAAAAACTTTTTTTTCAGTGTAATCGACAAATTACTATTTTAAATAAGTTAAAAAAAAAAAAATAATAATTTTTGGTATTTTACAATTGCCCCTTATTACAACTGCAACACTTCTCCCCTACTAAATATTCTTAATTATACACTTACCCAAAAAAAATCATTCACTAATTACAACCACCCAAAAAAGTAACTGTATATAACAATCACCTAAGAAACCGATAAATCATTAATTTCAGCATGTACCACACAAAATAACCTCTTACGGATAAATATATTACAGAAAAGGGATAGCTCTGTATGACACATCCCCAACGAAAGCTTCAAAGCTTGGCAAACCTCTCTTATACCCTGGAGACATTGACTAATAACAGTAACAGGCGTCAATGACGATCGGCGATCAATCGAGTTCTAGAGTATGATACTCATTGGATGTCCAGTGGGCTGTGTCAAAACCCGGTAGAAGGATGATGGTCCAGCGATTCACCAGGACATGGATTAATCGTTGGTCGTGTTTGAGGCAGCTGGTATACAAGTATACATGACGATGTCATCGTGGCTTGACGATTTCTGTCGGGTGTGCTCTTGTGTCGCAGAAAAGCTACTCGTATTCATATAAACGGGCAATTCATTCTCAACACATTCTCAGCGGAACAACATATTGACCACGACTGATGGTCTATGGCACATATAGCTGTATACTGTCCAGTACCTACTGTATGGATTACTCATCTATCTATCTATATCTATATATAGATGGTATATCCTATGCGGAGACTCTTACATATATATTACATGAGGCTAGCAACGAAAACAAGGTGTTCTAGCGAAAGAGCTCAATGCTTTAGCATTCTCATCAATACAAACGCCTCTTGACCACTTCAAAGCCCTCTCTATCTACCATAAAACATATCAATTAGCATAGCAAAGGTTTTACGGCTGTGCTATGACTAAACTCCTCTTCTATTCTGACTATGTTACTTTATATACGGTAAAAAGATCCAACAAAAGTCTCCTCACAAAATGAAAACAGAGTTGAGGAGACACAACACTACCTACCGTCTGTACACTCAATCAACTTGATTGTTTATCTCCTCTCCATACAGATGATGTTGATAATATTGGACAATCAAAGTTTAACATCATTACATATACAAAGTTACTAAAGGGAACACTACACATATATTCGCTGCACTAGAACTAAATACACTGCGACCCTTCCGCACTATAACTCGTTGCTGTTGTTGATGTTACTTCAACATCAAAATTTATAGCCGGTCTACGACAAAAACAGCTTCACGTGTTTATTGGGATTACGTGTAAATGCACCTTTTCACTCATCCCTCATTTTAGTGCTCTGTATCTACGCTTTTTTATTTCTTTTTCATGGACTCTATTGCTATCAAGACGTAATTATTACAGTCCGTTAATGTTGGAAATGAAGAAAATTTTTTGGTGCAATAGAAATCATAACTTGAGAACGGAGTTACTGGAAAACTCATTTACAATCAAAATAAAATTACTATAGTTGTAATACTATTTTTATTGCAAAAATTATTTTACTAGCATTTTGCTATAAGAAAAAAAAGCCTCTATTTGTGAGGTACATCTTTGTAAAAGTTGAAAGCTTTTTTTTTATCTTGCAGAAAAAATGTTCAAAATTTTTTTTGAAAAATTTGATTAAATATTTTTAGAGCAATTTCAAATACCACTATCGATATCAGCGATTTATTAATACAAAATTTTATTTTTTTTTGGATTATAATTAGTTTACAAATATTCTCAATGCTGAAAAAAAAATCTAAAAAGCAGTCGACCCTGTAGGTAATCCCTGAAATTTTACCAATATTTTTTAAATCAAAACGCTGGAAAATTTGCCAATTAGTCAAAATTTTGAGAATTATTTCAAAACATTTTCTTTTACTTTTTAAATAAAAAATTGTTTAGTTTCAAAATATAATTAGATCTCAGTCTGATTGAACTTTTTCGACATCCAATAAGGGTTTATCAAATTAGCTTCCTAAAAATTTGATTTTTCAAAATTAATCTTGCTTTTTTTTTTAAAATTGTTGATATTTAAAGCGGAAAATTGAAAAATTTATTTTAAACGCTTAAATATTCCACACTAAAAATAAATTAACTTGAAAAATTCTTGAACCAAAAAAATAATTTTGAAGAGTTTCAATGTCTTGAATCAAGATGAAAAATTATTGAATTAAATAAAATTGACTTAAACCAAGAAAAATTTCTTTGTTTAAAAATTTTTCTGCTCAAATCTAGAAGATGGAATTTTTCAAAATTATTTTCTTGATTCAAGTAAATTTTTTTTCTGTGCAGCAGTCAAAGAAAATTTTTCTAAGACTATTCTTCATAACTTCTAATTTTAATAGCGATTATTATCGAAATAAGAAACTCAAATAAGATCGAAGCGTTCAAGAACAAAATTTTTCATTATTAAAAATTGATTTTTCAAAAACATTTATCCTCATTAAATTCAAAAGTTTGACCGCTGCCAAAACTAAATTGTAATCCAAGCAATTCTTCCTCGAATCATGTGAAACAATTCTTCTAAATCCCAAATAAGGACCATACTTTACCCATAAATTTTTGACTTTTTGGAAGCTTCGTGTCAAGTTAATCAACATTAATGCAAAGTATAAAAAAAATCTCTTAAGAAGGACGAATAGTATCATTAGATTTCCATGAAATCCAGCAATAAAACCCATAAGAATAATTAAAACAAGGACCGATGTGTCGTTAAGGTTTGGCGAGCTTAAAGAATAAGACGAAGTGAGAAGTGAATAGAACTCATTATTTGGTTAATGACTATTCTGAGAGTTTAACGTTCGAAGGTAAGCAGGAGGTAGGCAGGCGTGCTTCGGCGTGCATGGAATACAAGATCGTGTTTGAGATGGGTAACGTGGCGTGTTGGTAAGCCCGTAGGATCCGGCTCGAGGAAACTGCGCTGCATACCGGACACAGAGTGAATTCGCTTGAAGGCATGTTCGCACATTGCATCGCACACACTGGTCCCGGTTGTTGTTGCTGTTGTTGCTGTTAGGATTGCTGATTCTGCTATTAGGGACATATACGCCGGAGTCATTGCCGTATTCAATTAACAAATTTTAACGCTTGGCTAAAGCGATCCCCGGTGGAGCTACGGACGATTGGAAGACGCCACAATTGGCATTGTTTGTAGTCAATTTGTATATCTCTCACGACGGTGCTCACGAACTCCTCGAGTGAGAGAGCTGAGGATAACCAGCATAAGTATCAGTACGGCGCTTACCTCGATCCTGGATCTCGAGACGGGGCCAGAGTGCAGACGGGCGCCACCAATATTCTTCTTGCTCATTTTGTTATTCTCGATCTTCCAACCCAGCGAATAAGTTGGTGCAATAAGTCTGCTCCAAGATGAGGGTCATTCTCATCGGAGACTCGAGTGTCCGGGAGGCGCGAACAGGACCAGGAAGGTCGTGCTCTCCACATATCCACCACGTCTTTTATTGTTAATGTCCAGTTGATGACCAAGAAAAAGATAATATGTATACGTATACAGAAAGAAATTTATAAGAACCTTTCCAAAAATTATGGGAATGGTTCCTATAATAAAATAATCGTTATAGGTATCAATCCTATGCTCATTATGGGAACCATATCCATAATTTATTGGAAACATTTCTATATAATAATGGATTAGCTTCAATATATTATGGGAATTGTTCCTATAATATTATAGGAATGGTCCCTATATTATTAAAGGAATGGTTCCTATAATATTATAGAAATGGTTCCTATGATATTATGGGAATCACGCACATAATAATAGAAAAATGTTTATTTTCTTAATAATGGAGCAATCACATCAAAAATATAAAGTAATTATTAGGTAGATAGATAGATATATTTATTTATGCCAAAGCCTTAACTGGCCAGATGGCAAAAAGAAAAGGTTACATTATATTAATATATTTTACATATTTGATGCTTAATTTAACAATATTTTATAATTTAATATATACTTAACTTAATGTATATTTTGACAGAGTAAAAGAAGGATATAATTTAACAATACAGATTGAAAAATAACTTAAGATTTAAGTAACATTTTTTGTTTGATTACATAGTTTTTGGTGATTTAACTGAATTTAACTGACAATTTTTCAAATATCAAGTTCGAAGAGATGATGAAAGATTTTATTCTTGAAAGTATCAATACTAGGCGCTTTGACTAGATCCTCTGGCAACTCTTCCCAAAGACGAATGCAGCTAACAACAAAAGAAGATTCATAAATAGTCGAGGTAAAATTTGGTACTTTAAAGTTTATAAAGTTCTTTTTCGCTGCCAGTCTTTCAGAGTGTCTAGTATCTAAGTCCTCAATAGATCTCACGCAAGAGGAATTATTATATATTTTTTTGATAATAATTTTTTTTTTGTAAATAAAAATTGATCTTTCACTGGAGTGAAAAAATTTCTTTTTCATAATTTTTATTCACGTGTTTTAATCTTAAATTGTTTATTCCAACTCAATTATTATTGTGTTAGATAACATTGAAAAATTTTGTAGCAATTCTAAAGTTTCTCTAATAAAAGGGATATTTTCTCACTATACAATTAGAGTAGCAAAGTAGATATGGAAATTCATTGTTTATTTGTACAATTTCATTTTATATTTAAAACAAATTATTTATTTACAATACATACGTTGAATATTCAATAAATACACTGATAGAAGGATTTTTTTGTATTTAAAAAGATTTGTTAATATTTAATAAATGATTTATTAGAGGATAGGTCCTTAACAAATATTTATTAACAGTTAATAAATCATTTATTAGCAGCTATTTTTTTGTGCTAACTAAATATTTATTACTATTTAATAAACGATTTATTAACATATAAAAAATGATTTATTAATATTTAATAAATCATTTATTAGTATTTAATACACACTGGATTATGAATATTTAAAAAATTCCTCAAAAAGGTGTTTCAATGTTTTATTTTAATTATAAAAATTACAGAGAATTAGATATTTAATGAAGTAAAAAAAAATTGAAATTAAAAGATACAAATAATAAAAAGATAAATTACAATTAGAAGTTTACATATATATATAAAGCATTATTAGGGGCGTTAGTACAGTCCATTGGATTCGTTTATTCAATTATTTATTAATTTAGAATAATTAAACTATAACACTGATCTAAATTTTGAAATATAATGTACGCTAACTTGTATAAACAATACTACGATTAATTATCCAAATATAATTAATATACAAGGTAAAAGCGCTGAGGAATAAGACCGAGAACGAATCCGGGGTCAGCAGGATGTATGCGATCTTTACTTGATCAATACTCAACGAGAACTACCCCTCAAAGTATCCTAAGTACTTCTTCACTTAAAAATATTTCGACAGCCCTCATTGTCTGTCGATATCTTTAACTTAACTGTATACTTTTTACTTCTATCCTGTGACCTCGGCTACGTTTGGTGACCATTGTCACTCCGGACTCAAGCCCATCGCCATAACCATAAAAATTATAATCGGCTTAAGTTATAAATAATTATTAAATATTCTATGCTTTACAATTTTGCTTAAAACTAACAGACAAACTGAAATATTGGGAATTTCCTATCTCTGGGAAAACCCAGCTCGATATTATCTCCGACATATATATATATATATATACTTATTTACTATATGAAAAATTGATGTGGGTACTCAAATGAAAGATCTCGATGAGTGTAACACCGGGATGAGCTTATATCTTAAAAAATGTCAATAGTTCTTTTACTTCTAATTATCTTGTAAGTTATTCTTGTACACGGAAAAAAAAAATTGACAAGAGAAAAATTTTTAAACTTGCACTGATAGAAGGATTTTTTATCCTTCTACCAACATCGACCACCAACAAAATATTTGTTAACTATTAACAAATCTTATTTGGTGGAAATAAATACTTTTTTCAATACACAAAAGCTTATTCTTAATAGTTACAAAAATTTTGTTCTCATAAAAAATTGATTTAGTTAATACTAACGAATATTGTTAATAGTAAAAAAATATTTTTTCCACCCAAAAAAATATCTGAAAAAGATTTTAATAAATTGATTTATTAAATACAAACAAATCCTTCTATCAGTGTAGGAATGATTTCCTATATTTTTATCATATACGGATTTAAACGATTGTGTTATGACTTGTTTTAATATTTTAAAGAAAAAAAATGTACATAACTAAAATATGGATGCAAATAAAGAATTTAATTAAATAAATTTATATTATTTTTTCTTTCAGAATTTTTACAATCTGAGATGGTTACAGTTACCATCTTTGATTATAACAGTTATAATTTTTAATAATTACAATTATCATTTTCGATAGTAATCGTTATCATTATCAATAGTAACAATTACAATTGTCAATTATACCTATTAATTTGTGACTAATTAATTTTGTTAGCATTTCAAATAATAGGAGTTAATATTTTTGTACAGTAAATAGTATAATTAATTTTTCTCCGTGTATTAACCGAGTAAGTAAGAACGAACGGTCTAACGACTGAAGAACGGAGGAGGGAAAAACAACGCTAAAGAGCAACTAAATAAACCAAAAGCTAAAGCTAAAGCTAAAGACTTGGCCTCTCCACGAGGGACTAATATCTTAGTAGCATCGACGACCCAACTCGGGTACGCTCGCGGGATTCAAACTGGATGTTTAATTAGGTGGGAGCGAGCCATCCACTGCCAGTAGCAGTATCCGCATCAGGGGGTCCAACCAGATGAATTAAAATAAAATAAATAAGCATGATAAAAAGTGCTCCTTCACCAGAGACTGAGACTAAGACTGAGAAGGAGGCTGGAGGAATGGAAGGAATCAACAAAAAAAGAGGAAAAATTTCGAGGAGAGCCTTCTTCTTGTTCTTCTTCTACTTCTACTGTTATCCAGCTTCATCAAGCTCAAGAAGTTGCCGGAACTTGGGCGGGGTTCAAGAGCAAGAGGGTGATGCTGGTGAGCTAGTGGTACGAGAATAGACGGAGGAGGATGGAACCAGGGAACGTGGCAAAGAATTGTCTGGGATTTAGTTTCACCCGGGCTACTGGTGGTGCTGATGTTGATGCTGGTGTGTGCTTGTTTCATCTCAACTTCTCATACCTCGGCTGGCCACCTTGATCGTACTCATCGATTTCTCACACTCGACTGTCCTCCAACTCCCGTCCCGTCTCGCTTTGGCCTCCGATACTTCGGGTTGTAACCTCTGGCTCCGCTCCCGGGCGAGGGGAACAAGGGAACGGAAATCCAAAGGCAAAGTAGCTGAAACGGCGCGAGAAAAGAGAAAGAGCAAGAATGAACACAAGAGCCTGGTGTACTCTGATGCACTGTTTTATTTATTTGTTTTTCGTTTATTTCTATCATGCTACCACGCTGTATCGTTTTCGAGGGAGGTGAGGGACGTTCTGTGCTAAAGGAGACAGATAAATGCTTGGAATTAGTTCCCCGTATTGTATCCTTCGCAGATCCAACTTACCCTGTTCACCCCCGCGACGCTTTCTGTTTTTTATTTATCGGACTTTTTTTCCTCATCGTCAGTCCTTTATTTTAGTCTTTCATGAAGTAGTCTATGCTTTTGAATTGCTTGGTTAGACATCAGCTCTTTAATCTCTAAGGCGAGAATTTTTTTTTGTTAAATTCTCTGCTGGTTATAATTTGTGAAATTTTGGTTGAGAAATTTGGGAAAATTAGAAGAATAAATTTGTCATCAATTTTGAAGCATTTGAAATTTTCAAAGAAATTTTTTTTTTCCATTTTTAATGTAAGAATACTTATAAAAGCTTTAATTCAAGGCTACAATTGAAAATTGAAAAATTGATATGGTTTTAAAAATTAACTAAAATTTTGCATGTCAAAAATTTATTTTAGACAAAATTATTTCTTCATCTTCCTGTATCTTTAAATGAAATTTTAATAATTAAAAAGCTTGACATGTCACATACGTCCGAATAATACGTATCACGATCCCACAAAAAATTAATTTCAGTTTAGAATTTATATTGGTAGATATTTTGCCTCTAAATTTATCACTATTAATATTATTATGTCGTTAATATTTATTTATTTATTTATCAAACAATGAACCTAACAGCATGGCCAATAATAGGGTTCCATACAAGTAAAAGTGTACATAGTATGTAGTATACAATAGAAAAAGCAAAAAAAAAAAAAGAATAAATAAAATTATTAATAATGCATATAAATTTATATTAAGTGGTAACATACATGTAAGAGTCATTCATGCACCTAACTTAGCAATTTGTAGAGAGAGTGAATATTACCAATAGATTATGGTTCTAGATTACTATTTAAGTTATAGAAGAAATTAAATGATTTCTTATTAATCGGGATATGGGCGCAGAAGTGACAAAGGTGGCACATATCATCGGAAGATGAAAAGGTGGACTACTTCTAATAGGCACTTTGAAATTTACCAACTCCATTAGTCACATACAGTTAACTTTATTAAATTAAGCATTAGTTTTAATATAAATTAAAACAAAAAAAGTTAGCCGACGTTTGTAATATTTTTTTTATTTATTTATTAAATTACAACTAAAAAATATTTTTTAAAAATTGCACTTATAGTTTTTCAAGTTTTTTACAAATAAAAATTTTTTTTTATTTTTTTGTGATAATTTTTCAATAAAAAAATTTCTCAAATAACTTAATTATCACTATACAAATTGACAAATTCACAATACACTTGAATCACAGTAATCAGGATTCGAAGTTTTGTAAAAAATAATGAAATTATTTTGTACTCATCATGATTCACTGAATTATCAGCGCAATATTTTCTTCTCATGTATGTTGAAGATGTTTACAAATTTCGTAAGCATAACCGCTAATTATAATAAATCGACGGTCTAATTAGCAATTGGTCTAACTCGTTATTTTTTGGAGGGTGAATTTTTAACATTTTGATGTAGCAATAATCTAATTATAAATTATTTGAATGATCCAAATCAAAATATTATATCTCTATTAGATATTAAATTATTCTTTAAAGTATTAATAAATTTTTAACTAATTGTTTTTTCTTACTAGTAGAAGTACAAGAATTTTTTCTAAAATGAAGTAAGACAATTTGATAATTAGAACGTTGAAATACGTATTTTTATCAGTCCCGATATAAGTACAGAGGTTGAAAAAGAATGAACTACAATAGATAGTACCATAGGTTACATTAAAATGAAGAATAAAGTGAAATTGCGGCTGTTGTGGATGAACAGAACTAAACAGAAAAGTATCTTTTTCTATTTTATTTAGATCCTCGAGGCAAAATGTATGAATCGTGTTGCAGAAAGGCTTTGGAAGTGTGTGGACTAATGGCAACGCGGAGTTTCCTTCAAGCCTTAACTTTACTAGCTGTTACTCGTCAGCAGGCTACTCTGGCTTGAACTCGCCAGTAACTCGCTAAA